AGGAAAGAAAAGAGCCTGTACCAAGGAAATGGAAATGGAGAACCCCGGACAGGAGACAGACTCAAGAGGATTCTGTAACTGACTGGGAGGAAAGGAGCTGAATAAGGGAAAGAGGGAGCCAAGGGTTATATCCAGCTATTCAGCTGAAGTAACTGAGTGAACGGAGTGCCACTCACTAGGTCAGAGAACACAGCCTATTTCAGGGGAGGATGAGGAATTCTACCCTGGACATTTTACGTTTAGCTACCTATGGGATATCAAAGTGGGTATGTCCAATGGGTAATTTATAAATCTGAAGATCAAGAAAGATCTGGATTGGATATTTGGAAATTTGGCATGAGATCACCCAGGGAAAAGTGTATGGAGCAAGGAGAGAACAGGATCTTGGAAAGAACTCGAAGAAAGTCCAACCTCAGAGAGACAAGGAACACCAATGCAGAAGAGTCTGGTCTGTGAAGGAACAGGCAGAGTAGGAAGAAAACCAGGAGAAAACAGTGTCATAGAAGCCTAGGGACATGAGTATCACACAAAGTAGTGTCAGGGTCTAATGCTGCTGAGACCAAACTAGGTAAGGACAAAGAAAGAGCCACTGGATTTAACAAGAATCACTGGTGACTTCCACAAGACTTCTGTTGAAGTTGTGGGTGGACAGGCCAAACTGCATCAGGTTGAGGAGCATGTGAAAGGTGAAGAGGAGGAAACAATGAGTATAAACAACACACGTTCACGACGCGACGTCTGTGAAGGAAAAGAGAAACAGCTAGGTTGAAGGACATATTTTGGGTGATCTCTTTGTTTTAAACATGTTAGAGACTTAAAAAAAATATTTTTAATGATTTTATTTTCAAGTAATTTCTACACCCAACGTGGGGCTCGAACTCACAACCCAATGTGACCAAGAGTCACACGCTCTTCCGACTGAGCCAGCCAGGTGCCCCCAGAGACTGAAAAATGTTTAAATGTTAACGGGAAGGAGCCCGTAGCAAGAAAGAGAAGGACTGGACATAACCACTAAAAAGGTTTCTGAGAAAGTAACAGAAGTGGAATCTGAAGCAGAGGTACAAGGTAAGCTGTAGAAAGGGGGAGAGTCCTCTGTGAAAACACAAGAGAAGGAAAGGACAGATATGGATAGAAGCGAGTTTCAAGGTTGGGGCACCAGAAGTTGGAAGCTATTTCTTTCTCTTCTCTTTCCCTACCGCTCCCTCTACATTTTCCACTTCCACCAGCAATTTATGAGGGTTCCAACCTCCCCATATCCTCACCAACACTTATTACTGTCTTTTTCATCATTGCCATCCTAGTGGGTATGAAGTAGTATCTCACTGTGGGTTTGATTTGCATTTGGGCGCCATTCTCTTTTGAGGTCACCTTTTTGTCCCTGTGAGGAAAAAGGACTGACCAGAGGAACCTATTCAGGTGCTAAGACAGAGCCCAGGGGAATTTGGAAACCTTAAGTCTGTAGAAGTACCCAACTGATCTGTGAGTTTTTCTTCTCCAGTGAAGTGGTATGTTTCCCTCAAACTGATCTGATCCGACTTGGAATGGGAAGTTGCTCGTTTAAACATAATGAGACAAGTGCTCCTGAACAAGAGATCATCTGCTTGCTGAAAGTCCTGTAATAGACACATTTGAAATGACAGTTTGCATAAGATTCACTCTTTTTTTTAAAAAAGATTTTATTTATTATTGACAGAGAGAGACAGTGCGAGCAGGAACACAAGCAGGGGGAGTGGGAGAGGGAGAAGCAGGCTTCCCGCTCAGCAGGGAGCCCGATGTGGGGCTCGATCCCAGGACCGCGGGATCATGACCTGAGCTGAAGGCAGACGCTTAATGACTGAGCCACCCAGGCGCCCAAGATTCACTCTTCTTGACCCTTGAGAACAAAGCACCTCTCAAACGTGTTCACTGCAGCAGATCTTACATCTGTACTTTATTTACAACTACAATCATGGTACTAAATTCATCAAATGGCAAACTGCAAGAAAACACCACATATCCATTCACCTCAATAATGGGTAATTCCTTTAAAACATGTTCACAATTTTTGAAGTAACCAGTTACCTCGTAAGAGTACAAGATACTGTCACAGCATTCAGTTAAATTAATTCAGTAAGTACATCCTTATGTAATATGAAGATTTAATAATTTAGAGATTTATCACTAAGGCACACTACCACATATCCTGATCTCAGTTTTGTGCTCAGGGATCACATCTTGGGACTGACATATATGTGAACCAGATTTACACCAAGGATTATATGTTAGAAGGTGCTATGTTGTTGTTTCAATCATCTTTTGCTAAGTAACATACCATCCCAAAACTCAGTGGCTTAACAAGAGCTGTTTGTTATTTCTTTCAATTCTGTGAAGTACTCATGAGGTCATGGGCACTGGGAGCTTAAGTAAGGCTGACACAGGCCTCACATTGCGCAGTCACTGCAGGTGGTCTCTCCTTCTCCTAGATTCAAATGGAGCAGATAGAGAGAGACTCCATCTCTTAACGGGAGGTAGTGCAGTCAACATAGGGATGGGAAGAATTGCTGGCAGTAATCTCGGAAACACTTCACCACAGCCGACAACTATATTACTAGATGTTTCCACTATACTAGTTGAGCTCATGACTGAAGCACTAGAACCCGACAGACTTGGTCCATCTCCAAAACTAAAACTTTTTCTTAAGCATTGAAAAGAACATCTCAGCAAACATACTCTTTTGCCCCTGTGGAATGCTAGTCCAGGAAAGCCATGGAATCTTCTTTTCTGGGGTTGTGGGAAGTATAGATATTATCTTTAGGGAATAGCCTAAGTAGAGTCTTTCCCAACTGAAATTCATTACCTCAAGTCCTTTCACACTTTACAATTTCTTAGGTATGCATGAGTATGATCTCATTTATTAAAATCTAATACTAAAAAAAATAGAGGTATCCCCAGCTATTTCAACTCTTGCTATTCAAACTCCATCTAAACTCAAAATTATATAGATCTGGCTAAGTTCCTCAATACTCAAACCTTTGCTATTGACTCTCCTAGATCCAGGTATGAACTAGATTTGTATATCACAGCATCTCTTATTACCTGAAATCTCACTCTCTGAACACAGCAACCCGGTAAATTTGTATAGTAAAAAGGATGTATGCCCCAAAATATTAACTGCTGTTATCTTCAGATGGTATAATTACAGGTGATATACATTCTTTTTTACGCTTCTGTAGTTTCTAAATTTATTGCCTTACAAAATTTAAAAAAAAAAAAAGTCTATATTGTGGACTTAATGTACTTGGAAATTTTAAAAAATTAAGTCCATGTTGTGGCTCAAGTACATAATTGATTTAGATAATCACTTGATTAACTGACCTCCTCTATTAAGTCTATTCTGGTTAAACTCAAACATTCATCATGTGCTTCCTGTGCATTCCTCAACATGTACACAATATGTAACATTTTTAGATTTTTTTTTAAACCACAGAATATCTTAAAAATGTGTCCTAATGCCCTGGCTGGACTCTAGAATCCTTAAGCGTCCTCCCCACCTTGTTTACGATGCATGAATTACTGTTTAATGTAGTACACACAGAAAAAATAGAATAAAAGTCTTTGATTTCCTTTCAGTTTCATCTTCCCCACAGTGACTTTCAAATAAAGGAGGACACTGTCTCAGACTTCCCAGCTTGAGCTACTGATTATTAAGATGAAGCCAAAGCTCTTGCTAGGACATGGACGCACTCTTCGTTTTTAAAAACTTTAAAGAATTTTTTAAAGCTACAAACTAGATAGGTTTTAAAGGCTATTTGCTTTCTGAAGTTCCCAAAATTTGATCATTTGGATCACACCCATAAAAATCACTGTAGAAGAAATCTCTTTAATGATTAATATCCTTCCTCTTCTTCTAGAGGGAAGAAAAAATAGGATCTGTCCAGAAGCACTTAATAGACTGGTATTCACACAATGGATTAAAAGATACCCATCTCACAGATTAACTGCTATATCAATAGAATGGAAATATAGTTACCTACTCAACCCTGAAAGCACTTCAGAGAGGTGAAATTCAAATGGATATTTTCTAAAGTTTAAAGCACACTATAAACTGCCCTCAGGGTTAGCTCATTTATCCATTCCTTTCAGCATGATATGCCGTGATGTTTTGATGTTACTATTCCACAATGCACAACAGTCTCAGAAACTGTTTTTGCCCCCAAGAACTATAATCCCCCCCAAAACGGGCCAAAGTCAAATAAGACTTTGACTCTGTTTCTTTAAGCAATATAATACTACTTTATAAAATTGTAATCCCCAGCTGCAAAGATGACATCGGAATGTCTCGCATGCAAACAAATACACAGAAAGCCACTTACGAGAGAACAGAGCATGCCTCGATGGTCATCTCCTATAAAATAGAGTAGGTAGTATACCCGAGGGAGGACAAGAGAAATATTTCACTCAGTTCGCCGCACTCCTGGATAAAGGTCCCTAAGTGAATGCCCCTTTGCGGAAGCCGTGTTGTGGAGGAAAGGGAAACAGTGGAGAATATGGTTTGTGACACCACTACCCTCCGGAGGTGAAGGAGGAGATGCTAAGATCTTGGGAAGGGCCGAGAGAGGATGGGGAGGAGAGTCGGAGGGGAGGTCTCTTCTCCGCAGAACAGCGCCGAGAGCGGTAACAGGCTTCAGCTGGGAGCAAAGCTGCGTCCAAACAGCTCAAAAAAGAGAGGCAGCCGGGCAAACTTTCGCTAGCCTCCCCTCCCCCTTTCTCTCCCCCTCGGAAGAAACGCCAGCAGAGGTGCTAATGGTGCCGTGCTGGCGGCGCAGACATTCGCCGGGACGAAGCGCCCCGCGGACCCGCGGCCGGGGGCCGGGGGGCCGGGGGGCCGAGGCCCGCAGCCGGAGGGAGGGAGCGGGCAGGAGAACGGGGCGCGCCAGCCCGGCCCGCGGGGAAGGGGAGCAAGGAGAAGGGCAGGGGTGGAAGCGGCCCCCGCGAGCTCGGGCCCGCGCCCCACGGGCTACCTGGGACGCCAAGCCGCTGTCTCACGCCGTCCGGCCGGGTCCAGCCGCGGGGATCTCGGAAGCGCGGCGGGCCGGAGAACCCCCTGGGAGCAGCGGCCCCGACGCCCGGCGAAGGGGAGGAGTGGGGGGCGGGCGCTAGGGGCCGGGCCGCCGGGTCACGTGGCCGGGCCGCCTCACGTGACGCAGACGCCGCGCGCGCCGGGCGGCCTCCGGGCTTAGCGTTCCACCTGGCGGTGTCTTGGAGTGGGCGTCTTTGGGCTCTAGGGCGGGGGTCTCCGAGGAGAGTCTCGGAGTTCGGTGACCGCCGAGACTCGCAGGCTTTTGTCTCAGGGAGACAGGGACGCTCGAGGGACTGGCTCCTGCTGCCCTCCCCGATGGCTTGTTTAGCCGTGGGGACGGCCGGCTAGCCTCCCGTGGGCACCTAGGACGGAAAAGCGACTGCACACTCCTCCCCCTCCACCGTGGCGCGCCCTTCTCCCTCTAGCCTACCCAGGTGGTGCTGCCGGGGACAAAGGGTTTCGGAGGAGAGCCTCGTTTAACTCCAGAGATGTCTCTCCCCGGCCCCCGCCCCCCATTTCCTACCGGTCCGAGAGCAGGGGCGCTAGGCCGAAGGGTAGGGAAGGTGGCAACTGGAGCGTGATCCGAAGGAAGGAGGGAGTGAGGCTTAGGGCCCAGGTGATGAAAGGAAGGCAGACGTACCTCGGAAGCAGGCCCCCAGGATTGTAGGGGACCTAAGACAGCAAATGACCCAACCCTTTTCTTATGAATGAGTAAACTGAGGCCGGGGTTGCTTTGTGCTGCTCTAGCTTGTCATCTGTTGAGACCACAATCATCTTTATAAAGTATTGTACAGCCTTTGAAAACTCCAGTTCGCTCCACAGGCTACAGGATAAAGTCCAAACTTCTTGGCATAACTTTCTAAGCAATCTTTTTCAGACTTACCTTTCCCGCTTGAACTCCCATGAATAAACAGAAAAACATTTTCTAAGTATCACCAAACAACTCAGTCAATCTACTGGAAGAAGGCTGCTTTTCCACATCTTCCAGCTTTTCCTCAGCAGTACTCTAGGCTCTGGCTACAGAGAATTCCTGTTTTCCTTCGCTACTTAACTTTCTTTGGATTACTAACTTTTCCCCTAAGTTGCTTTACCTGTCTTTGCATTCATTCATTCTTTCATGACTCTCTGAAATGCCCTGGAATCACTACCCTCTCCCTCTTAAAGAAAACCAGAGTCAGACAGTACTTAAAGCATTAAAACAGATTTTATTCAAAAACTATTGCCATAGTGCAATCAAGCCCAGTTGTATACTGAGGTCTCCTTTTTCCTATTGCCAATAGTTGCTGAGTAAAATCTGCTTACTGCTTTAACTATTGTGGAGTTCTGGTTCTGCTTATCTTTAACAACACCCCAAGGTACTCCTCAGTCTCCTACTCATCTTTCAAAATCCAGATCAAATACCACCTACTCCTGCCTTCCTTCTCTGCATCCTCCTCCCTGATTCAACAGCTTCAGCATTTGAAATTCCATTCAGACAGTGTCTGCAGTAACTTCTTCCTAATTTCCTGGCAACTACATATTTTGATACATAAGTCTCACACTGCCTAGAAATGTACATTTCCCGTAAGAGGTAAATTGTCTATTGCTATCTTCTTCCTTAGATTATGAAGTCTTTGAAACAGGACTTCTGGGCTTAATACAGTGCCTTCAATATCCACTGAATGAAGGTCCATATCCACTGAATGAAGGTCAATGTCACCCCCATATCCACTGATTGAAGGTCAATGTGGTAGAACCTCCATATCCACTGAATGAAGTGGCACCACCAAGGTTGTAGCAGTTAGTGAATTTACTAAAAATTCTTGAGCCTACTTTGTTCAAAACAAAACAAAACAAAACAAAAACCCCCACACACAAAAACTGATGTCAGTTTCTTTATGCTACAATCTGATCAAAAGAGCTTCTGTAAAACATACTTGTTTGAGAAAAATATTGAGGTCTGGGGTTTGAGTCATCAAATATTTCCTGAGCACTCACTGCTTATCATGTGCCAGATGCTATACTTGGCACATCTTTGAGGATAAAAGATTGGATAAGACATGGTTGCTGATCTCAAGGAATATGTAGTTTGTTTCATTGTTCCGGTGCAGTGTGAAAGGTATGATACAGGGTGCCAGGTGAACACAAAGGAAGAACCACTATTAGAAGGCCAGGAAAAAAACTTCCTGGGAAAATGAATTTGGAGAACACATAGTAGTTAGTTGGAAGGGAGAGAAAGACCTTCCAGAAGAGAGAACAGTATGTTCAAAGGTAGGAAGGCATGAAACAGTATTATTTATTTAGGAAAAGTGAGTAATGCTATATAGCTGGACTTGGTGACCTCAGTTACCTCTGGGACAAAGGAAACCTAATTGGTTAATATTGCTGTGCTTGAAAGACACATATTTATTAGTATTAGTGTTATTTATTGGATTGAGTAACTTTCTCTCAGACAAATCATAGGCTCTTAACCTAAAATTGGACTGTAGAATAGTGCTAGGTGATTTTTTTAACTTTTTTTTTCCAGCTTCAAAAGCTCTCTGTAATTGTTACCTAAAAGTAGCAAAATTACTTGTTCCAAACAAGATTATTTTAGAGCACTCTAAACTACTGGGCAAAACAACTCAATTTATAGGTAGCACTTTAAGGAAGACACTTGGTTCTACTTCCATCGGGGTGGGAGGATCCCTCTTAATGTTCATGCTAAGACGTGACTATGCTGGCAAAAAGTATCGTCAAGAACCTAATGAGGGGCGCCTGGGTGGCCCAGTCAGTTGAGCATCCGACTCTTGGCTCAGGTCATGATCTCAGGATCATGGAATTGAGCCCTGTGTCAGGCTCCATGCTCAGTGGGGAGTCTGCTTGAGAGTCTCTGTCCTTCTCCCTGCTCATGTGCACTCTCTCTCTCTCAGTAAATAAATAAAATCTTAAAAAAAAAAAAAAGCCATAAAACCAGCAACTCTTGTAATGGCTAAATAGGAAACATTTATTTCACTATATAAGATTGCTTACCTGTTTATGTAATACACAGTTTTAACACACAGACATCTGTTCTGACAGCTGCAAAAACAATATAATTATTTTTTGAGAATTGAGGATGGCATAAGTCTTGGGATTTTACAAATGTAATAAAATATAGAATCTACCTAGAAAGAGATTCCACCTTGACTTTCTTTTCTTTTCTTTTTAAGATTTATTTATTTATTTATTTGAGAGAGAGGGAGAGAGAGCCAGGGGGTGGGGGTGGGGAAGGAAGGGCAGACAGAGGGAGAGAGACAGAGAATCCCAAGCAGACTTTCCACTGAGCATGGAGCCCGACGAAGGGCTCCATCTCACAACCCCAAGATCATGACCTGAGCCGAAATCAAGAGTCAGACACTCAACAAAGTGCCCCTTGATTTTCAATTAGCTTAACCAACTGGGTAAACATGATCAGTCACAATTAGTTTTACAACCTCAAACTACTTTGGGGATAATTTCTGCTCTTATAGTTGGAATAAATAAACATAAAATAGAGAGGGGGGAAGATTGAGAGAAGTGGTAATGGAGAATTGGAAAAGAATTTTTATTCTAGTTCCTTTTTTCCGTCACCCCGAGAACACATAAATAAGCAAACAAGTGTCTTAGCGCTGGCTAAAGTAGTAAAGTACTCTGCTGGTTGATTTCTTCCCCTGCACTGAGGGCAGATGCTATGCTGAACAGGTGACATAAAGAGATAAACCTACTCTGTTCCCTAGATGAGGCATGAGACCTTCTGAAGCACAGCACTTATCTTGTCTATGGTGCTCCTACATAAGACCACCTTCTGCATAAAAGTGACCCAATACACTCTGTTTAGAGTGGCTTCCTTGTCCTTGGTCAGATGAAAGAGCTTGTTAAATGTGGAAGCCCTGCATGACCACATGAACTGACAGTGCCATATTTACTCTATTCATCAGCAGTGGTGCTAGGGCCACCTTCATTTAGCAATGGCAGTACCACCGGGAGCAACATGGTTCATTAGGAAGCCACCAGCCTCTGGTAGGAGTTATGAGGTCTTTTGTCTTCCAGGGAGCTAGAGTTTTGACTGCAATTGACTGTGAAGCAGGACCGATCCTCTGGGTATTAGTATGTATCTTGATGACTTCTTGGAATGATGCTAGGGTGCTGATACGGGGTAGTAAGAATATTCTCAGATGGGGCTTGCTTCATTGGTTTGGAATATTGCAGGTGACATCACCTGGGACAAACAAAATGACACTATGAGTAAACAGACAAATCCAGAATGGGGTACAAGAACCCTCCTAGCCTTGGTCTCTTCAAAAAGTTAAGTCTATTGGGGAAAAGGGGGAGGGGGACTGTCCCAGTTTAAAAGATACTAAAGAAAAATGATATTCAAGTGTAATACACAAACCTTGGGTGGAATCATGGTTGAAAAATTTTTTGAAGCTGTAAAAGATATTTTGTGGAGAATCATAGAGATTTAATATGTGCCGATATTAGATATTAGGTGACTTTTAAATTGTTCCGTTATTTATTCAGATATGATCATAGTAATATTGAGAATGTCCTATTGTTAGGAGATGCATACCTGAGTATTTAAGGACAGAGTGTCATGAGGTCTGCAAATGGTTCAGCAAACAAACAAACAAAAAAACCAAACTAATACTATACACATACTTATCCATGAAAAGAGAGAGCAAATATGACAAAATGTTAAATCTGGAAATGTTTTTTGTACTTCCCTTTAAATTTTGAAGTTCTCATTGTAAAATGTTGGAAGATGGAGTGAGATGTTGACCTTTATACTCCAAACTAAGAAAGCAGGACATTTCAGTAACTTATTTATTCAAAAAGATCTTTTGAATGCCTACTGTGTGCTAAGCACTGTATTAAGCTTGGATATATACTGGTGAAAAAATAGTAATGGTCTCTCTCTCTTTTTTTTAAGATTTTATTTATTTATTCATGAGAGACAGAGGGAGAGAGAAGGGGAGAAGCAGACTCCCAAGGAGCAGGGAGTCCGATGCAGGGCTCGATCCCAGGACCCTGGGATCATGACCTCAGCCAAAGGCAGACACTTAACCATCTGAGCCA